CTATAACATCATGTCTAGCATGGAAAAAAAAACAAATAAGGAAATGTGATTGAATGCTTCTCATAATACAAAAACTGAAATTAACAGGCAACAGATTTAAAACAAACAAAAGAAATAATTTGTGGGATCTCCATCTCTGGAGATATTCAAGAGCAGGTCGGACAGACACCTGCCAGGGATGGTCTAGCCCGTGCTCACTCCTGCCATGAGGGCAGGGGCCTGGACTCAATGACCTCTCAAGTTCCCTTCCAGTTCTGTGATTCTTCACACTTAGGCAATGGATCTTGTGGCTAGGGGACATTATAAGGCCAAAACGATCACAGGACTCTAATAAGAACTATATATGTTCATAGATGATCGGCCCATTGGTGGGTATTAGCCAGGCTTGGCATGGTCTGCATATTGATAGCATCTGTTTCATAGAACCTGGGAGAGTGTGACAGGGGATGAATCACCTGATGGTTCCCTGTTCTCTTCATTCCCTCTGGAGCATGTGTCATTGGCCATGTCAGAAAACAGAACAGTGGCTGGACGAAACATTGGCCTTGGAGGACAGGACAAGAAGCAATGGGTTTAAACTGCAGCAAGGGAGGTTTAGGTTGGACATTAGGAAAAACTGCCTACCTGTTAGGGTGGTGAAACACTGGAATAAGTTGCCTAGGGAGGTTGTGGAATCTCCATCTGTGGAGATATTTAAGAGCAGGTTGGATAGCCATCTATCAGGGATGGTCTACAGCAGGGCTACTCAATTTTGGAAACCACGGGGGCCACAGTGATACTCAGAGCACATGCCAAGGGCTGCAACTTAAGTGTAGTTGCATAGACATGCAAATATATATGCAAATATACGCAAATAGCTTATTTCACACTGACTGGCATGAATACAAAGATTAAGCCTTAAGCCACGTGCTGGACCCAAACGTGGCCAGTGTGAGCCAGTCAGCACCTCTCCAGCTCTGCCCACAAGGCTAAGCAGCTAGCACTTCCCACAATGCCCCAGTGCTCCCGGCACCTCCTCCCTGGGGGCTAGAAACACCAACACCCTGTACCCGTCTATTCCAGTCAGCCCGTCTGCTTGCATCTTTCAATGCCCACCCCACCTGGGAGATGCCTCGCTGGTATGGAGCGTGTTCCCAGTGGAGGCCACGTTCAAAGGATCCCACCCGCAGGCTGCATGTTGAGCCCTGCATAAACCCAAACCGCTCCGCAGGCCACAAGCGAATGGGCTACAGGCTCCATATAGACCCCAGATATATCTGACCCCCTGTTGTAAAACTCTGCACCCTTCTCCTCGCTGAAAGCTGAGCTAGAACCCCGGAGTCCTGATAGTACCACTAGCTCTACAGAGTGATGTGCAAAATAAGAATATACATTAAAATGTTAAGCCTAAGGAGTGTCCCTTCAGTTTGGTTAAAGTCAAGATCCCGATCAAAATCGGAAATGGCTCCTCTTCAGTTGGCTCAAGGAGCACCACAGAGATAATGCAACAAGTGGCAGAGGTGGCCTTGGGGGACCAGTTATCAGCAATGAGAAAGGCAACAACTCAGTGAGGTGTGCATAGACTGATTCCACAGTTTGTCCCACTGAGATAGTTAGATCAGGAAAGGGAATAACATCTGTGAATTTCCAGTCACTGACCGAGGGAAGAGGGCCCGGCACCCTGACAGCAGTGATATCTCCCTGGGCATCAGCCAGAGAGCCAGAGCAGCAGGAGAAAATATTAGATCCCTTTGTGAGTAAACACCTGGAACATCCGGTCCCGGATCTGCTTGGTCCTCACACCGAAAATGATGGGGTTTAGCATGGGGGGCACCAAGAGACACAGGTTGGCAAAGAGAACATGGAACTGCTGGGTCATGTTGTGGCGAAGCCGATTTGTGACCACAGAGAACAGACCTGGGATGTAAAAGGCTAAAATGGCAAAAAGGTGGGAGCTACAGGTCCCAAAAGTCTTGAGCCGGGCATCCTTTGTGGGGAGGCTGAAGATGGCCCTGAGGATCTGGGTGTAGGACACAGTGATAAATACCACATCTAGACTGACCACCAAATTTCCCACCAAGAGGCCATAGTAGCTATTGATGCGAATGTCGGCACAGGCCAGGTTTACCACGGCCATGTGATCGCAGCATGTGTGCGGGATGATGTTGGTTCTGCAATATGGCCACTGCCGGGCCAGCACGGGACAGGGCAATGTGACCACGGCACCACGCAGCAACACAGCCAGGCCAAGCTTGGCCACCACAGGGCTTGTCAGGATGGTGGAATGTCGCAGGGGATCACAGATGGCCACATAGCGATCCAATGCCATGGCCACAATAATCCCAGACTCCATTGCAAAGAAGCAGTGAATGAAGAACATCTGGGTGAGGCAGGCACTGAAATTTATCTCCTTGGCATTGAACCAGAAGATGCTCAAAATTTTGGGCAGGGTGGAGGTGGACAGGACCAGGTCGGTGACGGCCAGCATGCAGAGGAAATAGTACATGGGCCCATGGAGGCTCGGCTCTGTCTTCACAATGAACAGGATAGCGAAATTCCCCAAGAGAGCGATGGTATACATTATGCAGAAGGGGATGGAGATCCAGATGTGGGCTGCCTCCAGGCCAGGGATGCCCAGCAGGATGAAGGTGGAGGGGCTGGTGAAGTCGGTGGTGTTGGAATCTGACATGGAGCAGGGCAGGTGTCCAACTCTGAGGCAAATGTTGTCTCCTGAACGTAGAATAGTTTCCCCTTTTTGGATGCGCCCAGTGGTAGGGTGATGGCTGCAGCATGAATTCCTGAATGGAGAGGCAATCATAGAATCATAGAATAATAGGACTGGAAGGGACCTCGAGAGGTCATCGAGTCCAGCCCCCCGCCCTCAAGGCAGGATCAAGCTCGGTCTACACCATCCCTGACAGATGTCTATCTAACCTGTTCTTAAATATCTCCAGAGAGGGAGATTCCACCACCTCCCTTGGCAATTTATTCCAATATTTGACCACCCTGACAGTTAGGAATTTTTTCCTAATGTCCAATCTAAACCTCCCCTGCTGCCCTCAAGGCGGGACCAAGCTCCGTCTGCGCCATCCCTGACAGATGTCTATCTAACCTGTTCTTAAATATCTCCAGAGAGGGAGATTCCACCACCTCCCTTGGCAATTTATTCCAATATTTGACCACCCTGACAGTTAGGAATTTTTTCCTAATGTCCAATCTAAACCTCCCCTGCTGCACTTTAAGCCCATTACTCCTTGTCCTGTCCTCAGAAACCAAGAGGAACAAATTTTCTCCTTCCTCCTTGTGACACCATGTTAATATGCGACATGTCATGCAGTACTGGGGTCCCTTCTCATGGGGGAAGCAGATCGGCCTCTTCACACATTTAAAATGACATCATCATTATTCAGAAAAATGAATTATCAAAAACTTTAACCCCAAGCACGCTAATTTTATTTTAATGGTACTCCTTCGCTCAATAATTCTAGCGGTGAGTACTGAGTATAGAGTAAAAAAAAAATCATATTTACTCCTTCTCTTAAACAACTAACAAAATCATCCAAAGCTCAGGATTTCATGGTGATAGGGGACTTCAACTATCCAGACATATGTTGGGAAACTAACAGAGCGAGGCACAGACTACCCAGGAAGTTCTTGGACTGCATTGAATATTTTTTTTTATTTCAGACAGTTGAGAAAGCTACTAGGGAGGAAGCTGTTCTAGATTTGATTTCATCAAATAGGGAGGAACTGGCTCAGAATTTGAAAGTGGAAGGCAGCTTGGGTGAAAGTGATCATGAAATCATAGAGTTCCTGATTCTAAAGAATGGTAGAAGGGAAAACAGCAAAATAGAGACAATGGATTTCAGCAAGGCATACAATATGATGGAGACTAATTTGGCTACAACTAATCAGGGAGATCTTGGAGTCATTGTGGATAGTTCTCTGAAAACATCCACTCAGTGTGCAGCAGCAGTCAAAAAAGCAACTAGAATATTATGAATCATATAAAAAGAGGTTGGCTGTGTCTAGACTGGCAAGTTTTTCCGCAAAATCATCTGATTTTGTGGAAAAACTTGCCAGCTGTCTACACTGGCCGCTTGAATTTCCGCAAAAGCACTGACGCTCTCCTGTAAAATCATCAGTGCTTTTCCGGAAATACTATGCTGCTCCCGTTCGGGCAAAAGTCTTTTTCCGAAAGACTTTTGCGCGAAAGGGCCAGTGTAGACAGCACAGGACTGTTTTCCGCAAAAAAGCCCCGATCGCGAAAATGGCGATTGGGGCTTTTTTTGTGGAAAACCGCGTCTAGATTGGCCACGGACGCTTTTCCGCAAAAAGTGCTTTTCCGTTAAAAGCATTTTCGGAAATTCATGCCAGTGTAGACGCAGCCATAGAGAATAAGACAGAGACCATCTTATTGCCTCTATATAAAACCATGGTACGCCCACATCCTGAATACTGCATATAGATGTGGTTGCCTCATCTCAAAAAAGATATATTGGCATTGGAAAAAGTTCAGAAAAGGGCAACAAAAATGATTAGGGGTTTGGAATGAAGAGAGACTAACAAGACTTGGACTTTTCAGCTTAGAAAAGAGGAGATTAAGAGGAGATATAATAGAGGTCTATAAAATCATGACCAGTGTGGAAAAAGTGAATAAGGAAAAGTTATTTACTTATTCCCACAATATAAGAACTAGGGGTCACCAAATGAAATGAATAGGCAGCAGGTTCAAAACAAACAAAAGGAAGTTTGTCTTCACTCAGTGCACAGTCAACCTGTGGAACTCCTTGCCAGAGGATGTGGTGAAGACCACAACTTTAACAGAGTTCAAAGAAGAGCAGATAGATTCATGGAGGTTAGGTCCATCAATGGCGATTAGCCAAGATAGGTAGGAATGGTGTCCCTGGCCTCTGTTTCTGTGGAGGTGGGTGACAGGGAAGGAATGATGTGAGGATTCCCTGTTGTGTTCCCTCTCTCTGGGGCATCTGGTTTTGGCCACTGTTTGCCAACAGAACACTGGGCTGGATGGACAGTTGATCTGACCCGGTCTGGCCATTCATATGTTCTTAAGGCAGATTTTAGTAAACTCAGAGGGCAGGTAGGTAAGGTCCCATGGGAAGCGAGACTAAGAGGAAAAACATCTGAAAAGAGTTGGCAGTTTTTCAAAGGGACATTATTAAGGATCCAAAAGCAAGATATTCTGCTGTGTGGGGAAGATAGAAAGTCTGGCAAAAGACCGCCTTGGCTTAACCAGGAGATCTTACATGGTCTAAAAATCAAAAAGGAGTCCTATAAAAAGTGGAAACTAGGTCAAATTACAAAGGATGAATATAAGCAAACAATGCAGGTATGCAAGGTCAAGATTAGAAAGGCAAAGGCAAAAAACCAGCTCAAACCAGCTACAGACATAAAGGGTAACTAGAAGACTTTCTATAAATATATTAGAAGCAAAAGGAAGACCAAGGACAGGGTGTGATGGACCGGGCTGGGTCTGGGTACAGCTGAGGGCGTCCGCTCAGGATGAATTGCTCAAAATTGGGGCTCCTTACAGCCGCTAGACTGGAGACCTTCCCAAACAGGTAACAAACCAGTCCCACAGAGCGCTTCAGCTGCCTGCCTGAAGCCTCACGAGCAAAACCCCTCCAACACCCCAGCAATATCTGTGCCACAGATGGCCCCGGGCCTCATACACAGGTGGGGGGGTCTTAGAACCCAATCCCACCTACCCCGAACAAGTTCTGTCCGGTTCCAAGAAACCAGCCACAGATCCCAGGTCAATTTCCCCTCTGGACCTTACCCACAAATCACGCTGGGCCAATCCTTTAGAATCTAACATCTAAAGGTTTATTACTACAAGAAAGAAAAGCCTGAGAGTGAGGTTGTTAAAGTATCATACATTATATACATTGAATCTTCCAGTTCTCGATGCTGGCTCGCAGCAGAGATGTTATAATTGCTGGCTTAAAAGTCCTTGGTGCACATCCTATGCCAGGATGGATCTACAGTTCTTCCCGGCTTGTGAATCACAAATGCAAAGTGCTCCACTTAGCATGGAACAATCCGTTTCATACGTAGGGCATGTCTAGGCTACACCCCTCTGCCAGCATAGGGATGCAGATTAGGCTGGGCGAAATTGCTAATGAAGCAGGGATTTAAATATCCTGTGCTTCATTAGCATAAAAATGGCCGCCGCTTTTTTTCAGCATGGAGCTTTGTCGGAGAAAAGCGGCAGTCTAGAGGGTGATCTTTCACTAGGGGCTATGTCTAGACTGCAGGCTTCTTTCGAAAGAGGCTCTTTCGAAAGCATCTTTCGAAAGAGCGTCTTTCGAAAGATCGCGTCTAGACTGCAGGCGGATCTTTCGAAAGAGAAATCCGCTTTTTCGAAAGAGAGCACCCAGCGAGTCTGGATGCTCTCTTTCGAAGACGGCCTCTTTACATTGAAGAACGCCTTCCTTTGAAAGAGGAACTTTCGAAGGAAGGCGTTCTTCCTCGTGAAACGAGGTTTACCGCCATCGAAAGAAAAGCCGCGTTCTTTCGAAATAATTTCGAAAGAATGCGGCTTGAGTCTGGACGCAGGGGAAGTTTTTTCGGGAAAAAGCTACTTTTCCCGAAAAAACCCCTGAGTCTGGACACGGCCTAAAGAAAGCCTTTTCTGATAGATCTTGTATGTAGGCGTGACCCAAACACTGGCAGAGGGGGTACAACAAGGAAACTAAGACAGGCTCACTGCTTGGTCTGGAGTCTTTGGTGAGCTGGGCCCCTGCAAACAGAATGTTTATGACAGTCAAACGGAAAGTGATCCTCTTGGAACTAGGGCCTGGGGTTCCGGAGGCTGTTGCCTTCAGAAGGATGTAGGGATCATCGCAGAATCTGCCAGAGGGACTGCTGTGACCCTTGGATGCACAAACAGGGAGTGGGAGTTGGAGCTGGGGGAAGCTCGGAGTTCCACTTTTCGAAGAGGATGGTGAAAAATTGGAGAGGGTGCAGAAAAGAGCCACAGAAATAACTGGGGGATGGATAAAATGCTGGACAGCGAGAGACAGAAGGAGCTTCATCGAGTTATCTAATCAACCAATCAAAGACAGTCGTGGGGAGGAAACCGTGGCTACGAACAGACTCTGTTATCAACCGCAGAAGGGCTGTGGCTGGAAACTGAAACCAGACACATTCTGGCTAAAAAGAAAACCCAGATGTCTAGCATTGCGTCTGGTTAACTATTGGGACACAGAGGGAAGTGCGGGATTCTCCAACTCCCTTTTCTGCAGATCCTGCCTGGACGCTGGTCTGGAAGCTCAGCTCGAAGGCTTCGCTGCACTTAAACTGCAGCAGCGTTGCTGTTACACTTCAGTGTAGACACTACTTACAATAGTGGCAGGTGTGAATCCAAATCCCCAAGAATCCTTCCTTTGGTCCTGTCGTGGCTAACCCGGCGATAGATGGATGGAAGGAAGGAAGAAAGAAAGACGGAAAGAAAGAAGGTCCAGGCAACAGTCTATGTGTTCAAACTACTGCACAGCAAATGTTAGCAAAATTGCATGAAACCCTTTCTATCCTTAAGAACAGGTGCTTAGTGGAAAAGAAACCTGGGGAGGTTAACTGGAGGTTTGTAAGAGACAGGTCAATGGCTGTCTCTCCTGATTGGTTTAGATGCAAAAAACTTCACCGTGGCAGGCGTTAATGGGTGTG